CGGACTAGAACACCACCATCCACAGACCACCCTTTATCGACCCCGAAAATAGCATTCTCCACGTTAAGGACAGGCATCTCCCTTCGCACTGTTTCACACCTTGGACAGTCGAAGACCACATCCCAACTAACAATTTTCGCAATTTAAACGCTTTACTCATTTCATTTATACAGCCTCAAGCTGTATTCAAATGTTATATGATATGAGGAAACCTTTACTCAACCTTTATACAAGCAAATCTGGCGAACTTAGTCAGCTACTTATGACTGTTGTGACGGTTGGGACAAACTCTTATTGCTTGTCTATTTACGTTTCTATTCAGCTGTTATCCTGCTGTTTAGTTGTGTGTGAACATGAAAGGCGCTTATACTCAACCTTTACCCGATTTTATCCAATAATCACTACACAAGCTTTCTCTTGACGCCAGGTTAAAAATGGTTTACGTTTTTTTGTTCTTGGAAATTAGTTATAACCACACACATTATTTACGCGATACCGGAGAACCTGGAATCGAACTCGAGACGACCGCATTGGCGAACCTTGATGCTACCAACTTCGCTACGCCAACACTTTGAACTGACTTAAACAAATTTACATGCCCTTCTACAACAAGATTGCTGAGTAGAGGCTTTATAATAGTGCACATGAATCGCTTTTCTCGACTAGTTAATTCAGCTTTGTGAACGAGCAGAGTAAAAGCTGTAAAACTACACAAATCTAAAAATAAACCTAGTTGACTGTAGAATAACTTTCAAAGTAATGCTAACACAGTTTACTAGTTGAGTACAGGTTGTTTAGTTGTTGAAAAAGCACTTTTGATGTTTATTGAATAACAAGAGTGGTTGTGTATGTATGTATGTATGTATGTATGTAAAGGATACCACTCATTGTTGCAAGGCACAGCCATTAGACAGTGGATCATCCTCCAAGTATGACTTGATCAAGTACGATACCTGGTTGTATTCAATTTACCATTGTAAGAAGGGCCAAAAACGGAGGGGCGGACCCGTAAGCAGATACACTTACACGCAATCCGCGGGGTCAGGAGAATCGCCTTCCAATGATAAAATCCTACAACCCGATGTAGAACAAGCCATCATACGAGGGAACGTCCCAATGAGTGGGGAGAAGAGCCCGCCATCAATTCACGAAATGTTAATGACAGGGAGTTGGCAATTCCACTCTCCCCATCCAAATCGCTTCAATCCGGTGCCCTGGTGGTCCCATCCCTCCCCTTTGCATTTAATGTGTGTATATATATATATATAGTTATATCGGCATTACCCGTTAGATTTTGCCAACACAATTTTGACTTCTTAGCCTTTCAAAATCTTTAATAAATGCAAATATTATCATCTGACCTATTCCGCGAGTCGTGCGAATCTCCACCACCAATGAGTCAACAAAAGTCACGCACTAGTGGGGTTACTCTCCGTGCAATCAAATGAAGAGTCACCTCACACGAGGCGACCACCGTCACTCTACTAGCGACAGAGAGCCATACTACTCGCAGAACTGGCCTGCAGGTGACGTTTAAAGCTCCACAATTTTACTGAAAATCTAAGAAAATTATTAAACAGAATTTAATAATATAACTGCAGAGCACAAGCAGTTTAAATATACTGAGGACGTGTTGCCAAAATCGAACGGATACTTTATATGTTTATTAATTTATCTTACCTTGATGGACCAACTACTTACCTGTCCTTAATGGTCATAAGCTCCAATCGGTATTTCCCGGTAAATCCGATCACGATCCTTTACAACATTTGGCCGACCTAGTTGGAGGTTACCACCCTACACCAACGCGCATCATCGCAACCACTCAGCACTTTCTTCCTTTTCTCTAAATTGAAGGGTTTCTAGGGAAACTATTTTCTTGAATAACAAGAGTGGTTGTGTAGAAGCCATTAAATGAGCACTCGCTGTCCTTCGTCGGGTGATGCCGATAGGGATCATTCCGGCGATAGCGCATACTGCTTCCGATGAGATGGTTCTGTACGCACTCACGACTAGCATGGCCATGTGGCCGGAACGTACTGCTCAGTTTCTTTTGGTTCTGCTTCGTTTCCAGTACTGCAAACCAGGCTGGACCTCCATACCTCAGTATCTAGCCAGAAGATGCCTTTTGATATTGCTGGGAATAGAGTTGTTCAGCATGATTCTAGCTATTGTGTTGATGGCCTTCCAGGCATTCTCACAGACATATTCGACGTGGCTGTTGAAGTTTAGCCGGTCATCGATCATCACTCCCAGGTATTTCAGCACGCGCTTCGCGGCAAAGGCGTGCATTGGACCAAGGATGGAGCCTTGTGGAACTCCTCTATGGTAGTAGCATAGAGGTAACTCTAAGACTAGTAGGTCCCGAAGAAACGTGCTCAAATTTTTAGCTCAGCTCTGGTACTATCTTCGGTCCCAAGCTAATCAATGCACCCCTCGAAACATGGGAAAATCCACGAACCCCTCATTTTATCTGTCAAACTTTCATAGCGAATCAAAACATAGTGTAGCACTAGAATTTCGACTAGAATGGGGTACGCTTATAGATATACTTGGGACCAATAGGCTAGTCAAGTAGTGAGCCAATTTTAAATCGTTAGTTTCCACTGGTTGATTGTACCACATGGCAACACTAAATGTACTAGAATGTCATCATCGGATAGGGGCAACTATCACCTTTCCGAAAGTTGTATTGGTTTGCGTGGGCGTACTTTGGTTCGCGTGTAAAGGGCTTTAGAAAGTTTGTTTACAAATGCTTTTGTGCCGTTATCAAATGTTATGCCTGATTCTCTTTCACTCTACTTCGTGAGGAAACGCTCTACAACAACCAACTTAATGATGTTTGTCAACTCGCTGATCAACTCCATTGAAAAACGACGACAAGTTGATGCGATCTACGTGGACTTCAGTAAGGCGTTCGATAGGGTTCCCCATGTGCTTGCAGTGGACAAAATGAGGTGTATGGGATTACCTAATTGGGCCACGAAGTGGCTACAGTCTTTCTTAACTGACCGCTCAGCCTATGTGAGCATTAACGGTGTTAATTCGGACGGTGGACACGTTGGCAACAAGGAGGAAACTACTTCAGCGACTCTTCGTGTTTGGATTGCTTAACGGTGACGTGGATTGCAACTCTCTTGTGAGCCAAATCTTCATCAATGCTCCTCAAAGAGTTCTACGTAGTTACACGCTTCTGTGGCAACCTACCCATCGGACAAACTATGGATTCAACGAACCGTGGACTTTGTGCTGTCGTGTGTTTAATGAAACGTTTGATGTATATGATTTTAACATTAGTAAATCTACTTACAGACATAGAATTCGACACCTAGCCTAGAAAATATCTGTACAACATTATGTTGAAGATTTAATTAAATAAATAAATAAAAAAAAAACTGAAATGCATACAAAATGATACACTCTTTGCACACTACCAAAGTTCATTGCACACAAAATCAACTTTGTTCAAATCAAAACAAAAATACTAGCCCATCTGGTGGGTGATGGCACACACGCTAACTTGAAAGTACCCATTAATGGTTGAAAAAGACCCATTTTGAAGAAAAGTGGCTTAACTCATTAAATGAGTAAATTTTTTACCCATTAATGAGTATCTGTTACCCATTAATGAGTAATTGTTAATCATTAATGGGTAACAGATACTCATTAATGGGTAACATTGTTTAATCATTAATGAGTTAAGCCACTTTTCTTCAAAATGGGTCTTTTTTTACTCATTAATGAGTACTTTCAAGTTAGCGTGCAAGGTTTTAAGTTAATTCTATTACAGTTAATCACATTATTTTACTGGATTTCTTCGCCAGTTAGTCATCTGTCACTTCGTTTGTGCTTATACATTCCATAATACAAACCACATAGGTCCTATAAAAATGCATAAAAGGTATGTGTGATCGCTTATACATTTCATTTGACACATGATCTTCATTAACTTTTTGCAAGGCGTCTGCTTATTAGTAGACTAATACATAGAAACAGAAATTTGCCTCTCCTTATATTGAGTATCCGTGTAGTAGGAGAATATTATAATAATATAAATGAATTAAAATGTAAAAGGTACATTGGATGAAAGACCTGTGCGTTGAATTGTTTGAGAATTCATGTTTAAAAACTCAAAAATGTTGTGAAAATGGCATGCTGACAAAATCGGGAAAGCATTGTAATAGGTTGTTAAGAACCATTACCACTCCAAATTCTTGTTTTATCCATACATTTCAGGAAAGGAATTATATTGGAACCATTTTATTTCTGATTTGAGAACTTTAATGGCAATAATTATGGTAGCCTGTAAGGTTCATAGATGGTTTTGTAACATACACCAACCCGAATTTGTTGCCTGTAAATTACTGATTACCAATTCGAGATATATTTGTAAAGTTGACCGATAATACAAAACCATTAATGGACCTTACTGGCTAACCTAACCATTACAATTAAAGTTCTCAAACTATAAGAAAAAAGATTTTAATATAGTCTTCTCTCCAAAAATGTATGGAGAAAACAAATATTTTGAATGGTAATGGCTCTTAACAACCCATTATTTGTAAGGTTCACTTCCAAAGAACCATAATACATAAGGTTAAAACTTTATCACACAAACGTTCGTGTAAAGTTCCATGACCATTTCAGTTAAAGTTTAGCAGGGATTATAAGCGATTTTTAACCATTTTCGGTAAAATCAAGTTATGGTTCGCGTTTATGCGGGTTGATTGGAATAACTTTTTTTTCAATTTTGTGGTGACAGTCGTCCACAAGAGTGCTTTAGGTTTTGCACCTACTGGTTTTATTCGTAAATGCTAGCCATGTTTGATCAAAAACGGTTTTACAGACGGTATTTGAATATTCCCAGACACTTTAAATTTGTATCCCAGACTTCAAATAAAATCATCGGTTCTCTACTCGAGCGATCCGTCAGGTTTGTTTCAGAAGCATCTTGGGTGAAAAAACAAGGAATTTCTCTCATCAATAAGCACCTTTAAATATTATTGTCCATTCTGATTTTAATAATCCAAACCCCACCCTACACATTCTTAATACCCACCTCCCCCGGAACGAACACCTTGATGTTCCTCTCATTTACCTTGTACAGGACCGATTTCTCCACCTTCTTAACTTCCATCAGCGCCTGCTCCGCACTCTCTCCCGCCTGGAAACGGCTTACGCTCAACCGTCCATCCACTTCCCTAAACTGCCCGGAAGCCAACCGTTCCAGTCGAATCTCCGTGCGCGCCAAATCATCCAAATTGGCACAGAGCGTCCCATACAGCTCGGCCGTATTGACTTTTACCACAAACGACGCCGAGGGGGTCACCAACTGCTCCACAAAATCAATCAACTCCGCTTCCGAGTAACCAAAGTTCAGAAAGTAAGTCAAATCATCCATCAGGATCGTCGCCTTCGGATGCGCTTCCAGAAACGCCCGGATTCGGTTGGTTACGTCATCCAGGCTGGGACTGCAGCTGAGCGGATAGCTGCGATAGAGCTCGGCGGCGACATCCAGAACCTGCAGTTGGCCGGAATCCCGCCCGGGGCCCAAGTTGAAGCTCAACTTCATACAGGCACTGCTGTAGTGGTGGTAGGTGTGCTGGGTGGCGACGAGCAGCACGTGGTTATCCCGGGACGATTTGAGTCGGTGACCGAGAATGGAAGCGATCAGGAAGCTTCCATCCACGCCGGAGTGCTGCTTGAGCAGAGTGAGCGGCGGGAGGGCGTCCACGCCCTGGAGACCACATGCCGCGAGCACGGGTTGAGCCATCTCTGCAAGGGAAGCAAAAGGTGAGTTTGATTTGCGTTGCTATGACCGGGCATGGGGTGATAAGTACTAGATCAAATATCGATCGGTCGGAGGTTGCGTAAAGAGTTGCTGGGTGAGAATAGTAACTCAAGACGAACAATGGATTAGGTCCTAAAGAAACATTGATCTATTCTCGTTCGTTGATAACTTGACTATCGAAACGATTCTTGTCGTGTTTGGCGTATTAGATGCTCTAGATACAGTGATCCCTCCATTTAGGTGGTGGGTTGGTGGATGTGATTAGTGTCAGCCATAAACTATAGTTATCTATAGAAAATCAGATCAATTGGTAGAAGGACAGCCGCGAAATGGTGGTGGGTGGACGGTACCACCCACCGCACAAGTGGAGGGTTTACTGTAATAGTTTCTTTCAACGAACTGTGTGTTGAAAATAGCTGGAAATGTCTTTCAACGGCCTTGGGAATAAAGGAAGATAATCTGCGAATGTTACTGAGGACCTAAACCATTGTTCGGCTTGCACAAACTCCTACAAAATTCTCAAAACGGAATCGAAAAATTTTACGACTTTCTGACTTTGCTTTGAAAATTTGGTCATCGTGAGTCAGCGGAAAATTTTAGTGGTTTCGACCGGTGTATGTTTATGTTTCGCCAACCAGAACGTGTTGCAGTAGTTCGATCCTAAGCAGAACTCGGTTGGTAGTTTCGGTCTATAATTAGAGAACAGTGAGAAATGAAGTCCTCCCCCCAATGCAAGGCCAGGTTCAAGCGTCATCGTGTTGACTGCTTTTAAGGCGATAAACAAATATGGTCGAAAAATAGAAAATTTACACGCTTACTTGAAAGTACCCATTAATGAGTAAAAAAGACCCATTTTGAAGAAAAGTGGCTTAACTCATTAATGATTGAACAATTTTACCCATTAATGAGTATCTGTTACCCATTAATGATTAACAATTACTCATTAATGGGTAACAGATACTCATTAATGGGTAAAATTATTTAATCATTAATGAGTTAAGCCACTTTTCTTCAAAATGGGTCTTTTTCAACCACTAATGGGTACTTTCAAGTTAGCGTGTACAAAAGACGTAATCCATGAAGTACGTACGATCGTCAAAGAATACACTTCCTTTCTGCGGGAAAGCCGGGAAGAAGCATTTGAAGATCGCAAATGTGTTGAATCTACAGAGACAAGTGTGAGAACAAGCTATGATGGATTTAAGTTAGTTTTGGCCTAGGGTGACCAGCATGGGTCGTACTCGATGCCCTTCAGCAGCCAGGTGTGAGATAACCGCCGACCATTATCAGACCAGTCAGCCAGATAAGATTGGCGTCCTTCCCACCTTCTGGTAACCCTAAGCTTCTTCAACCCCACCACTGCGGAGGGGACCATCATCCCGCGAGCAATTTTGAAACTGATAATCGCGAGTCTAGTCAGTTAGTCAGAGTCAGTCCACCGCAAGGCAGTAGTGCTTGGACGCAGACTGCCACCTCCTCGTCGTCTTCGTTCGAAAGTAAGTTATCAATCTATTACGCTCTGTTTTTACCCTTTCTGATGCGTGATTTGTGGATTTGTGCGATCATTTCGTAATAACTTTTACTGACCCGGATCGGTGTTGTGGCGGTGAGGAGGTAATTGACGGTCAAGTGGTTAATCGGTTTGTGATAAGAAGGAACTGGACGGCACCGGTGGTGTAGTGGTAAGCGTGACTGCTTTCTCGCCCCAGTGTGTCCGGGTTCAATCCCAGAAGAGGCGAAAAAATCGCTGGTCACGTCTTCCTTCTTCTTCGGGGGAGGGAAGTAAAGCTGTTGATCGTGCGGCCCAATGGGGCTTAGTGGGTGCAATGTCTACTCAGGTGTTGTAGATTGCAGAACAGAGACCGACGTTAAATAATGGACTCAAGAACAAGAAGAAGAAGAAGATAAGAAGGAATCACTCTGGAGGTGTGCCGGTGGCGCGTGTTTGTTATTGATGGGATGATATAGGGGAAATGGATGTAATGTCGGTCTAAATGCCCTTAATTTGGGCCCATGCATAAATTCAGCAATCGACTAAATTTTCTATAACGACCAAACATATACATTAGTGCCGTCCCAATTACGCGTTCATCTAGATAAAATTGATAAATAGATTTTTAGCGATGGGCCCAATCTTAGATCCATAGGCCAACAGTAGAGCCACTCTCCCTACCTAGAAATTGTTGATGAAAATTTAAAAAAGATTTTTAAGAAAATGTTGGTGAGAAATTAAAGCAAATTCTCGCGAGCATTATTGAGAATACCGTGGACCCCCGCTAATCTGAACGACACTTTTCATGCATGTTAACGGGGTTCAGTTTTAATTTGCACTTCTAGTAACCCTATCAGAATTAGAAAAGCATGTTTCTGGCAAGGGGGGAGGTGGTTGTCAAATACGAACAGTCGTCACCTATCTCGCATAACTGGTTCCAAACGTAAACAAGCCATAAGAAACCTACAGAGTTTGTTTACGTTTGGAACCAAATTCATACAAGTATGATCAGTAGGCTGATTTTACAGCACGTCCCACCCCAGGTTTCTGGTAGCCTTATTTGCTGTTTTTTGATTCTGCGTTCCGTTCCGCATCTTTCCATTTCCATGTGCTAGATGACGTTTGACATGGTTCCGGGCAAGATTCCAATAGTTATTCATGGTCAAACCAAAAGAGGCTCCAGACACGATTCCGAGCGAGATTCAGAAACAGGTTATTAGCGAAATTCTGCCAGAGATTCCGAGTAAGATACTGGGCGAAGTTTCGGACGATAATCCGGCAGTTGTGTGGCTCTACGGTGCGAAATTATTGAAGTTTGATTGGGAGCTTTAATCTATCTATTTGTAGATAGATTAACAAAAAAAAATCAATTGCACTTGACGATCGATTTCTATATTAAAACGAATGACCGACGTCATCCCTGCCGGAACGACGACAATGTCGATCTAATCAGATCCGTAAACTCACCTTGATGCTTATGGTTATTCGAATCGGTAGCTGGTTATGTTTGCCGTTCCGTTTTACACCAGCACAGATTTGCGCTCTGAATACCTTGCCTTGCAAAACACTTTTATTATCACACTTTTTACAGCACTTCAATCACAATCACACGTGTAAACAAAGCAACATTAGGATTAAAATTTTGTTTTGGTTGGTTTGAATGTGAAACCGACTGGCAGCAGCTGATTTTGACAGATGCGATCACATGTTGTTGGGGAACTGCTTGACGGTGTGCGTGTGATGCATGTGAAAGTGGGTGTGTTTGCGCCTGCTGTGGCGAGGTGAAAACGGGCTTCGAATGATGCTTTTGTGGTGAATTCAGCTTCAACTTTTCGCTCTTTTGTGATAGTTGCTGCCAGATGGCAGGCACGTTGTTTTATACTTTCATAAATTAATTAATGTTCTTATGTTTAAGCAACTGTTTTTAAATAGATATTATTTTTGGTTTAATTATATACCTTTAAACAACTTTTGCTAGAATATTAAATAAAATTTTCCGTTGATTTTTTTTTTGCATTCATGTAGTGAACTTTACTTCGTGGAAACAAACACCGCAAATCAGCTGTCATCGTTCCTTCTCTCGTCCATGGAATTTTTTGTTCCCGTCATTCCGTTAGTCAAATCTCGAAACACACTTACGTCATTGCTCGCATATCGCGCACACGACTCCGGCACTTACACATTCGATCTTCATCCAACAGGAAAACGGTACGGTGTTTGCGTCTTCTCTTCTTTATCTTACAATCCGAATATATTCTTTATCTAAAAATATATCACACTACCAACGAGAGCAGAGTACATAGTGACAAGCATCCGAAATAAATAAAACAGATGACAATTTTAACACCGCGTTTGCCTAAAGGGGGAGGTGTGTCTGCGATCTTGCCCGACGCAATTCCCGCAATGCTCCGGTTGCATTTGTTTACGTGTGTTATGTCACCAGCATAGCAACGCCTGATGCAGTGGCGGCTAAGGCATTGAAATGTTCCGAAAACATAGACGGCGGTGGATACAGTGGTGTCAATGAACTCACCGTTTCTATCTTGATCATGTACGGTTTCAGGACAGCAGGACAAGGAAGCACAAGGTCAACCACCGTCACCAACAACAACAACCAATCATAACACAACATGGCCGATGACAAGCGGAAACGAGTGTCCTATTGGTACTTTGGTGGTTTGGCCAGTGCCGGAGCAGCGTGTTGTACCCACCCGTTGGATCTTCTGAAGGTGACGCTGCAAACCCAACAGGAGGGCAAAATCTCGCTGCTCCAGCTGACCGGAAAGGTCGTCCGGACGCAGGGCGTTCTGGCACTGTACAATGGGCTATCAGCTTCGCTGCTGCGGCAGCTGACCTACTCGACGACCAGGTTCGGTATCTACGAGGTCGGCAAGCAGGCTATGGGAAATGATTCAGGTATGCGCAGGGGTCCTACAAAGTACGAAAAGCGTTTGTTATAATTTATTATCTTCTGTTTTAGGGTTCTTGGGAAAGGCTATGCTAGCTGGCGTAGCTGGTGCTTTCGGAGGTTTCATTGGCACCCCCGCCGATATGGTGAACGTCCGCATGCAGAACGACATCAAGCTGCCACTGGATCAGAGAAGAAAGTACGTTCCGATCGTCCAGAACTTCGACGTTAATTTTAACCGAGCTATTTTTATTTCTCAGCTACAAACACGCAGTCGACGGTCTCTTCCGCGTTTATCGGGAAGAAGGCTTCAGACGTCTGTTCTCAGGTGCCTCAACTGCTACCTCACGTGCTGTGCTCATGACAATTGGGCAGCTGTCCTTCTATGACCTGGTAAGTTTCACCTCGAACCGTTCCACCTCGAAAAGCCCCACCCTAATCAACATGTCCTCCTTCTTTCAGGTAAAGGAACTTCTCCTAAACTCGGGCTACTTCGGTGACAATCTGACCACCCACTTCCTGTCTTCGCTGACAGCCGGTGCCATCGCTACGACAATGACTCAACCGCTGGACGTGTTGAAGACTCGGGCCATGAACGCCAAGCCGGGCGAGTACGCCAACATGTGGGAACTGATCCGATACACTGCTCGCCTTGGCCCGCTAGGGTTCTTCAAGGGTTACGTGCCGGCCTTCGTCCGGCTGGGACCGCACACGATCCTAACTTTTGTCTTCCTCGAGCAGCTTCGCATGAACTTTGGCTATCTCAAGCCGGAGAAGAAGTAGAAGCGGGCTGCTCGTTCTATTGCATGTTGTTGATATTAGCTGTGTAGGAAGGACAATTTGGCAATACTCGCTCGAACTGGGTTCACTTACTAGGGTCGAATCAAAAGCTACGGGTTAGAATTGAAAGTCGCAAAAAGTTGACATTTCTGTTGCGTTTCTTTTTAATGTTTGGGTTATTTAGCAGCTTGTTATCATAATTATATATGTTTCGCATTTTCCCTCTGAGGGAGTAGAATTGAACAATCCAATAATGCTTTTACTCAATCAATCATTTAATGACATAACGATAAATCAGCGAACAAACATTCCACTGATATTAACTAGATGCTATATTTTATCTGTATCTGTTGAAAACAGAACCATCTACCTATCTAACATGATTGAAGATTTTAATTTCTGACGTCTGCCCAATTGTGAGATCCTCTAATCAATGAACATATGAAACAAAACCGTACCGAGTGGATAAGAGTAGGCAATTGAATCACAATAAAGGATGTATTTATGGTAAAAGTTAAATGCAAAGGGGTTCTCGTGTTGATTGCTTCGAAATTGTCCTTCTAAAAGTATTGCCATTTCAGAGAAGAAAAAAAAAAGCATTTGGCGTCAGATTATCAGCTTCAATAGCATCCTGTGATTGTCAGTTGTGTGGAAATTTTTTCGCTGAAATGACAATAATGAAGGGCCTTATGACGTGTGTCACTGTCACTACATGGTGATAAGGAAGTGGTATTCGGAATAGGAGCCGTGATTGCCGTACAAATCAGATGGAAATCACTTCACCGTGACGACAAGTGACAAGTTTTCACCGTGAAGTGACATCCGTAATAAGCCCCGAAATTAAGGAATAATGAGCGGAAAAATGACGCAAATAATTAGGGGGTTCATTTTTTTTTGTAGACAAAAAATTAATTGTAGCAAACGATCAGGGCCGTCTCAATTTCGTCAAAAGTGGATTCACACAAAAGAGAGTTGAATTTTCTGGGCTTTTCCAGGAAAAAATTCAATTTTCATGGATTTTCCTCATATTCAAGAAGTTTATCCTGAACATTCAACTAAATTTTGAGGCAGTCTGATCTTCCGTGATTTGGGAAAAATGCTATGTAAGTCGGTATTTGTTTAGAATTAAAATGGCTGTGTAATAAACGCTCACTAAAAGAAGGAAAACTCACATAGTTTAATGCGAAAAACCATCTTGTTCGGGAGCAATAAACTATATATAGGCTATGCAAATTTTCGCTCCACAGTGCTCAAACGGCTTCAAATCAGGTCCTGATTAGCCTCCCAAAATTTAAACTGATTTGGTAAGAAACTGACTTGGCACAAATCATTCGAAGTTTATATGGAAATTACTATGGGAAAACCAAACTTTTTGTTCATTGTCTTCTACCCATTTTCCATATTGCTTTTTCGAAAATTTCTATAACTATTCTTACGGGAAATTTTCTAAGCTACAACTTTGCCGAATATCGTTTTTCAGCTAAATGTCAAACTAAATAGTTATTAATTGTTTAAGAGATTGGTAAACTTATGACACGATCAAGCAGCTGCTCTGTAGGCAACACTGTATTTTGCAGTGTGACATAGTAGCCATGATATTTGTGCTCTATTCTTCTCACCAGAAACACCAATGTTGCCTGCTGAACAGTTGAATGAGCATAATCATAAGACATCAGTGACTTCAATCATTAATAACTTTTGTTCCGTGAATTTGATTGAAAAGTGGGTTTCAACAAAGTTGTAGCTGAGAAAATTTGCTACAATCACTGTTATCATTTTTAAAAGCACAGTAATGTGGTGAATTGTTAGATAAATATAAACAAAAACGAAGTTTTCCCATAGTAATTCCCATATAAACTTGAAATGGTTTGTGCCAAGTCAGTTTCTTACTAAAGTATTTCAAATTTTTGGAGGCTAAGCAGGACCCAATTTGGAACCGTTTGAGCACTGTGGAGCGAAAATTTCAAATTTCGCATCAGTCAGCATCATCAGCATACCAACAATATAGAGTGCGCTAGGCGATTATGAGAGGAAACGTCAACAAAACCGTTTGTTAACATCAAAATTACAATTTTACAACTCAAATTAACGCATATTGTAGTGCGTATCTTGCATATTTCCATCGGGAGGGGTCTTATTTTATTATTTTTCACATATTTGAACGGATTTACAACTCAAATAACACCATATTAAAAAATCCGGAAGATCATAACCGCTGGGGTAGTTTTATAAATCTTCACTTTTCTTAACAAAAATATGTGAAAGCACTAGTCGGATCACTTCAAAATCGATGCAGAAAACATAATATTTCACGTGAATGATGATTACAAGCACCAGTGATGGATACATTAATCAGAAAAGGTAAAAACATTTTCATCTACCTATGCTTCCCGGCAAAAATTTCAGCCCTCATCCGAGGGGTATAAAACTCTGCACATCGTAATCTGTGCCGCAAGATTTAGCTGTGCCAATCGCTGTATCGAACGTGCCGAGGTAGGCCGAAGCGGAGACGCTGTTAAATAAGAGACGCGCGAAGACAGAAGCCAAAAGATCCGATCGAACCGTCAAACGCGGTTCCAATCAAGCAATGTAAATAAACACGAGCGCTTCACGAAGAAAAGCGTGGGAAGTATTGAGATTGAGGTTGAATTTAATTGTTGAGATTGGTTGTCTTTATTAAGGAGATTTTCAGCCGCTGGTTAACTGTTGAGATTTGAATAATTATAATTAAGATTGCGTATGAAAAGTGAAATTGGACAGAGAATATTATTGTTATTCACCAGCTGTATTCTCGTTACGAAATATTTGCTCCAGCACAATGAAATACATCTACACAGGCTCTGTAACGAAGATCAAGGCGTGTCCGGTGTAATTTTTCAAGATAGTAAAATTTGTGAAAGACTTCAAAAGAGAGATTTCACTCATACGTGATAGGAAGCTACAATCGCAGATTGAATAATTTTGTGCAACGCTCTGTAGAATATACCCTCCAATGTGGTATATTTGGTTTCACTCAGAGTTGTCAAAAATTGAGTCTTCAAATACTTTCATTGAATAGCGATACTATTCAAGTATTCATAAAGTATTCATTTTACCGTGATGCTGAAGCAGACAACAGTCGCTCAAATTAAAAGTCACTTGAAGTAAACACAAAATTGAGGGTTGCCAAACCTTGCAGAAAAATAAATTAGTTGGCCGTGCAACCAGATTTACTTTTATTCTCTCCGCGCGTCTCTTTCTAGATAGAGCTGGAATTAGGGCGTAACAGCTTTTGTAACAATGACTTCTCGTGATGATTTCTATGAACTCAAGGGTAAGCGTTAACATTAATAGAGCTGGAATTAGGGCGTAACAGCTTTTGTAAACAATGACTTTTCTCGATGATTTCTAAAAAGTCAAGGCTCGCCCATGCAAACCATCATCTTCATCCGATAGAGGAAGATTTACCCTACCCGATGGTTTTGTTGGTTTGCGTGGGCGTGCCTTGAGTTCATAGAAATCATCACGAGAAGTCAAGAGCCACATGTGAAAAGGGCATACAAGCTTTTTGTAAACAAACCTTTGTAGGTTCTTTTCACGCCAATCAAGGGTCGCCTACGCAAACCAACCACATCATCGGAAAGGGAAAAGTTTCTCCTACCCTGTGATGTTGATGGTTTGCGTTGGTGTCATATGGATGGCGAGAAAAGGGCATAAGAAGGTTTGTTTACAAAAAGCTTGTATGCCCTTTTCACATGTTGTTCTTGAAGTCATTGTTTACAAAAGCTGTTACGCCCTAATTCCAGCTCTATCTAGAATATAACATCGTCTCTGATGGGCCGAAGTATACCAATCAAGGTGTCAATATCTCATGAGTTTGGCAACCATGAAGTTATAATGACTTTTGTGATTGTGTTTACATTTTCAATGTCTTTGATGGTTTATGGTTTCATTGAACGTGAGCGGAGCGGGCAGTGGAAGAGAAATTGGAAGCCATCGTCCAAAACGAACGTGTGCAGAAAGGAAGGTGTAACCTGATTGATGGTAGACGGGCGAAAGCTCAATCCCACCCTAGAAACAACATCCTCGAACCAGTTCGTCTGATCGACTCAGAAGTACGTGGTCTCGTAGAAATCACTCAAGCCTATAGTTTATTGGAGGCGAACCAGCCTCAGGCTGAAAGCCTCCTTAATAATGATGTCTCCTACCACCACCCAATTGCACTCGTTCAAGGATACCAAGTTCACGATCCTATGTAGTTGTGGTACCTTCAGTGATGTACTAACAATGAAAACCAATGTTAAATGTACCACCGATGAAAACCATCAAACATCGCCCCAGATCAATCATGCTTCGGAAATGGTTTGCGAACCAGATAAGCTTCGCATCTGCAGTTCTACAGCAAGTTGCGTAGTGTCGTCATGGTGGAACCAAGGGGTTGCCCAAGCAACTAAAAGTTCGGATAAAAGCCCTTTTTTGGCTTAATCAGCTAATCGAAGGATTATGAAGAGAATTCTATTCAGCTTACTTTTTAAGTAATTAACCGAACTTCCAAGTTCACATTCGATGTTTAAGCTTCTAACAGAATGCTGTTTCAAGAAAGAATGCTGTTTCACTTTTAAAAAGAACTTGAAAGGAGGGAGGGAATGCTATTCAGCCCAAAAAGAAAACTTGAAAGAAATCAACAAACCTAAATAGAAAACAAATATATCTATTATTTTGCTGCTTACCACGTTCTCTTCTAATTTATTATGAGCTGCTGCGTCGTCGAAAGATACATGTTTGAAATATGGTCAAATATTTAATTTAAATTACATGTTTTTAAATTACTTACCGAGTCTCGATCTCGAGTCCTCCTCTTTGAAACCGAGATACATACCACTGCTCTATGTGAACGAAGTGGAATATCATATGATTTTACTCGATGTGTTGATTGCATTCATAAAAATGGTTTTCAGAATAGCCAAATCTGCTGTCAAGTTCCGTAATAACCATTTTTGAACTTTAAAGTCTCTGATTAGTTCATGTAGAACCTTATCTGAACTTGAAAGTTGCTAAAAAGTTCATACGGAACTTATTGTGAACTTGCACCGTTTGACATTTGACAGCTTGTTTTGTTTTCCGCAGAAATTTTCAGTAGCCTCGAAAAGTATGAAACAATTTAACTTAATTGTAGTAAATTTACCTATTTTGAAACTTGTTTTATTCAGAAAATCATCAAGGTATGGAAGGGGAACGCAAACCACAAAGAAATTTATTAAAATACAATGTATTTTTTACTTACAGAAATGCCTTTCGCCGTAGTAGAAACATTGAACGCTCGAGGTTGTAAGGAGCTTTCGGTCGTTTCAGATCAATGGCTGCGGAAATCAAAAAGTGGACACATTTTGTTCTGGCCAAACGAAAACAGTGATCCGTGACGAAAAGAGCTGCTAGAAATTGACATTTCTAAAGTTGCTTACAAGTTCAAGACAAGGTTCAAGTCGAACTTCCTTCGAACTTATCTAGAACTTTACGTGTACTTTAAAGTCTGAAAGAAGTTCAAC